TTTGCCGTCCTGTTGCGTATCAGCTGAGCCAGGCGTGAAGAACGGCGGCTGTTTCTTGGTAACAGAAAAGATTGAAAAGGCACCAAACAATATCCACATTACAATACAATACCCAAACAACAATGGTTTCCACAGCTCCAACAAAAACCCAGAATGGCTGAGCCGAACCAAATTCAAATCGCCCTTTAAAAAAATCATCCAGACGCGGTACTTCTCATGGTCTCAATTCATTGAATTCCATTTAGCTCATGAGAAGTACTTCGTCTGAACCGCGAGCCTTAGTAGGAGATTCGCAGACAGGAAATACAGTTATACTGTGCGTTTTCGTGACTCACTCTTCCCGACATTCAAAATATTCATATATATGAAAAAAATTGAAAAGATATTATGATGGAAGATCCTCGGAGAAAATAGGAAATTCCCATTATGTCCGCACCATGTAAGGGAATTCAAGACAGTCTTGGATTCTGGATGTCACGCTGTGGGGTCCAGATTCCAGGTACTGGATCCGAAACTTTGTCAGTGGAACTTGGATTCTGGATTCCCATCGTTAAGTGGGATTCCGAATTCTCTAAGCCGTATTCCGATTCCAAAGCCCAGGATTCCAGAGTCCATAGGTAAAATTTTCCTGGATTCCCGACTCCACAAGAAAAAATTTCCCGGATTTCAGAATCCGTATTCCCTTATATGGGGCGAATTATGTCTATTATCTCAGTCCTTCTTCAGCCTCAAGGACCCAGTAAGCTACAGTTCAATCTCTTGATTTGCTGCCCATAAAAATTAAACCCGTAGTCCAAAAAAGGAAGTAAAACACACAACCCTCTTGGCAATGTCACAGGAACTCAGTTCTACCTCATTTAACTTATAATGCTAGAAGAAGTCATTCACCGATCAAGCTCAACTATTAAAAATTCAAGTTTGTTTTTGTCGTTGGTTGCACTTTTTATTAATTAATGGCTTTACTTCTTTACCGTTGAAGTCAAACGTATAATGTGGTTTAACATTGGGGAATGTATAGCTGGTCTTAACGTAATGTTACTTCCTTAAAAGGAAATAAAGAATTGAAGGAGCTGGTATAAGCTCAACTTGCGGTAGATATACTAATTATATTAAAGATAAACAGAGCTGACTATAACATGGCCGCTTGGAAATAAGAAATCCCTTTTATTTCAAGAGTGAGCGCAGAAACCAAGCAAAATATTTTTGAACACGAGAAGAGAAATTTCGTATCTCCAAGCGGCCATGTAACGTCCTCAATTTCAATATAACGAATTAAATGAGAGTTATCCTGTACTCATTTATTACGAAATAAAGGACGAATTCAGTTCATCAATTCCACATCATCCCACAATACAGTGATTTCGTCTGCCCCCAAACTTTGCACGAGTAATTTTTTCAATTTCTCTACGGACTCACAATCGGCCCGTTTATGAAAGTTTTGGGTGTAAATAGAGTGTATAATATGGGATGATGTGGAAGTGGCCAATACCACTTTCGATATTGGCGAAATTATGAAGCTCGTTACTGTTGTTGCACTTGTTATTCTACATCAACAGTCTCTCCCTTGATCTTTGGCTCCAGCGAGAAAGGTACTTCAGGAACTTTGCATTTTTCCAACTCAAACACTAAAAGCTGAAAGACAGAAACACAAACGAAATTGATCAGAGGAATATTCGTAAAATTAGCGTTCACTTTCTCCGCCGGTAACTTGAGATGCTCAGTAAGGTTTAGGTTTACACTGTCGACACTTGTGAACTCCCTGTTGATAACACCCTCTCATCTGCGATATTTTACCTTTTGTGGGACACTTTTATGCATGTTAACATCAGACAAACAGAAACAAAACAACAGTTACCGCAAAGCCCCTTTTGCAAACAAAACTCATCGCATCGTGATCGTTGTTCTAAATATCTCTAAACTCACTTTCCTTGCTCCCGCAAGAAAAGAAAGGAATTTTAGACGCGTAGCTCCCGAAATAAAATCGCATTAGCCCTCTAGCGTTTTCAATGAATTAACTGAGACGAAACTGTTCGGTAAAACTTACCTCATTATTGCCGCTTCGTAACCACGGCGCCGGAAGATACAACGTCTCTTGTGGCCCTAGTTCCCAGTACCTCCCTAAGTTATGGCCATTTATAAAAGCGACGCCCTTGGTCCAGTCTTTCATGTGAAGAAACGTGTCCTTTATTTCACCTTTAATATCAAATGTCCCTCGGTACAGGGTCGGAGGGTAAGGTTTGTTCCACTCTGTTACTTTTTTCCATGACGACGGAAAGTCGCTCAATCTAGCATAGAAATGGAAACGAAAACGTTGTGCGCCATTAGCATAGAAAAATGATAACAGTAAACATTTTTGTGTGAAAGAAAAAAATAAAAATTGCGGAGCTCTCTCGTGCGCGAAGCACGCGCAGAAAATTTGGTTATCTATTCATCAGAGATATTTTGGTTTTGCCTTATGTATAATACTCATGCTACATTACTCTAAATTACTTACTTGGAGAAAAAATCTCGTTTAAACTCCATAGGATATATGTTCCAACCGCTTTGCTTCTTACCATCCACAAAAACATCGCCGAGGATACCTGAACGTAATTTAACAAAGTACGTTAAAAACTTTACATTCTGGTCTACACTTTATAATCCGCAATAACGAAAAAAGCGTACTTTAATTTAAAAAGTGCTTTAGTGAAAAGTGTTCATGTATTTAGCACTTGAGTACTAATTGTGGACAATATATTTCCGTCTCCTCCTGGAGACGGGACCGCCATTTTACGTGGTCAAGCCGTTGCAGGGCAAAGGAAAGTACCCTCATTTCTCAGTTATTGTAAGACCCTGAGTATTGTTCCGCTCTCAGGAATCGAGCCTGCGACCAACTAATCCTTCCGCGGTCAGAAACATATGAACATATGAACCCACAATTGACCTGCTCCCAACGTCAGTGGCTTCATAGCTCAGTTGGTAGAGCATCGCACCGGTAATCGTGGAGGTCACATGTTCAAACCCCGTTGAAGTCCTGAATTTTTTTCAGGCTTCTTAACGCAATTGCATAAATTGCGTTCACAACGACGATCATTTCTGCATTTTCATTTCATTTCCGCAGTTCATATATGATTTATTTCATATATCATTAACACTATGTTTAGCACTGTTGAGGTAGTGCATTCCGTTACTTGCTTGACAGCTCTCGCTCTCCCACTTCACAAATGGCTACCAATGGCATAAGCGAACAAATACGGTGCCAAGGACAAGCATCTCCTCCAGGGCGGAGAATAGAGAGCTTTAGATTCTAAAACGAGGACGACTAGGAGAACGAGATCTTCTCAATCATAAGTAGTGATCGCGCGTGAACCAGCGTCATTTTGGCGCGAAAATGTGATAGCCGTCGTCATTCTACTACGAGTTTTAACGAGAATGTCTTAGTAGGGGAAACAGTTATCAAATGTTGGAAGTTTTATCATTTTGTGATCGGGAGAGGGTTTAACCTCCTTTAATAAAAGCAAACGGTTATCTCTTAAAATTACGCATGCCTTGCTGCTAAAGATGTCAGAGGCTAAAATCGGAAATTTGTGGAGCAAGTTTCCCCTGACATCAACTAGACAGATCTTTTAAGCCTGGTTTCCAATCTTCGGTTACGTCTTCTTGTATCTTACTCAAATGTTTATTGTAATAGTTCTTACTTGAAAATAATTATGACTTTTGGCTTCCTACCCCGTTTACTTTAGAGATACTGAATTTTTTTTTGAATGCTTAGCAATGTTCCTTTACCTTTTCGTTGAGTGTTCATGACAGGAAGAATATTTGATCGTCCCATGTTTTCAACCAGAATATCCAGGACATGTTTCTTTGTATCCTGCATTCAGTAACCAAACAATAACAAGTTACAATTCAACCTATAAATGTGCTTACAGTACCAACGTTGAATCCCTCCTGTCTGGGTGTACAGTCAGTTCTCTCTAAAACGGGCACCTTTGGGACAGGCACTAAGTGTCCGTCGTAGAAAGATGACCGTCCCATAGAGAGTCAAATAGAGTGAGTAAAGAAAGACAGGGACCAACTCCAGGTGTCCGTTTTACAGGTGTACGTCTTATAGACGTGTCCGTTGTAAGACAGATAAGAGTGATAAGAGTGATAAGAGTGTCGGACACCTAGAGTTGGTCCCTGCCTTTCTTTACTCCCTTTTTTTGACTCTCTATAAGATGGACATCCCTCTAAAACAGTCACTAAGTGCCTGTCCCAAAGGTGTCCATGTCAGAGAGAGTTTACTATATACCTATCCCGTCATAAGTTCTGCAGAATCGTTACGCCCCAGAGATGGGACTTTTCATTACTAAAGTAGAACTCCGATATATCACGAACAATACTCTTCGTAGAAATCACTGACAGTAAAATATATAGGACAAGAAACCGACACAACGTAGGCTTGTTATAAAGAATACAATGTCCCAGTCCCCTGAAAAAAATGTGGCACGTAGCTCTTCTCCATATCGAGACTCTACAGTAACAGTGATCTTCTAGCCTACGACCAAACGTTCACGGAGGAGGGAAAGATAACGATGGGCGAGGGAGGCTGGAAAGGCTCTCTGGTAGGAAGTCTAGCAATACCCCAGTTTTACCTTCGAGTAAGATTTAAAGACCTCCTGCTTCAAAAATCAAGCTCAACATTTTTCAACAGAGACCTTAGGATCGAGTTTTGGCCAACTTACCGAAAACGGCCACCCGCTGTTTGCGGTTAGCGGTTTTACGTTAGCTGTGCTTATGCAAATGAGGGGTAAAGAAGGTGCATTGTGGGAGATCTGCAAGTGGCGAAAGGCGAACAAAATGGTCACAGCTTAGTGCGCTGTATACGAATACATTACAGACCATTTTCAGTTCCGCATAAGATCAGCGGAAATCAGAACACCTTTCCTGCAAGTTTGCTTTTGTTAATCATCAACGAAAGGAAAGAGGACTATGGCCATATTGGTAAAAAAAATGTTCGCCTAAAATGTCAGGACAGCGGTTTTGATTTTTCTTATTAAGCCTCCATACCTAGTACTAACATATGGTCTCGTAGACGTCACCTATGCCATGATCTTTTTTTGCTAGATAAACTTGTTGATTTTTTGCCGGCCAGCTCCAAGAATAGTGCTTGCAGCTAAGGAGTCTGATTAAAACCACCAAAAAAAAATGCTTACGTGTTTTTTCGTTATTACACAATATTGCACTCAGTTATTTTCTATCATATCGTATCTAAACTGAAGTAAGTGTGGTACCTGGTTTGGTTTATCCAGCTCTATTACTACTTTCCACAGTTCTTTTTGATCTATGTAGTGTATATTCTTCCACGTTCCCTTTTTCATGGCCGAATTTGTTCGGTAAATGACCGAGCCATCGAGTAACACCTGTAAAGGAGTAATAAATGTGTTACAAGCAGAGCCGTAATCAACTGTTCGACGTGACTGAACATAAAAGAGGGTCGCCTATCCTTTTTCGGTAACGTGAAGCGTAATTGACGTTTTTATATATTCGTGATTAGTGATTGCTAATAACCAGAAAATTTTGCGTGCACTTGAAAGCGGTTTTGGAATTAAGCGTGATTCATGTAACGAAGATTTGAGTTAAATGTGATTCGTGAACTAAACCGTTTTGCGTGACCTGATTTTTTGTAATACGACTTAATTTTAAATCGATTTTATTTTGGGCAATTTTTTAAAATTTGCTGTTTCGTTGGCAAGCAAATTGCTACCGTGTAAACTTGCCTTACAACATTTGGGTCATTAGAATTATTACCCATACCCTAACATTTGATTGAGATTTAAAGCAAAAGGAGTTACCTTTGGGAAGTAAACAGGTTAGTCCTGAATATATTTTACGTTGATTTTTTGTAAAACAAAAGATTCTCAAGTTTTTTTGGCAAACGGGCCAATAAAATTCAAGGTTCAACTATGCAACCGTTGAAAACTTTAACACTGTTTGAACTAAGCTGGCCTCTCAGGAAACGGCCCTCAAATTCATGAATGTTATTGGTCCGTTTGCCAAAAAAACTTGAGAATCCTTCGTTTTCAAAAACCGTTGTGATGGGATAATCTTCTTCCAACTGCTCCTGTTCGAGTGGTCGTACTGTAGTAGTTTTAGCTCGCTCAAACTAGTACCAGCGTGCTACATATTGTAAATGAGTATAAATAAAGATTCTGTCTATCTAACCCCCTTGCCCAACCATAGACCACCCTATTAATAAGACCGCGTGTTATTACGACCCTCTTTTTTGGACTGGATGCATTTCCTAAGTGCGTCTCTTGTGGTTACCTGAGCACTATCACTGATATCGTGTATGGTTATTTGCCAAGGCTCCTTCCACAGTTCTGTTCGATATAATATGAAGCCGTATCCTTGTCCGCCATTGTTATTTATTGGCAACATCTCCATCGGCATGACATTGTCACTCTCGATGGAAACCTGCCAACAACGACAACAGAAAAAAAAAACATACATCAAAAAAATTCATGTCTATAGTGTTTCGCCATCACTGCGGGCTCATCCTCAGCACTGGGCATAACCAATGCGTAGGGTTTCAACGACAGACTTTAGAAACCAGAAGGGAACTGGGCCGAGTTAAATTTCGCGCAGACTTCTGGCACTTCTGGGAGAAGGAAAAAATTGGCCAATAGCTGACCGGCGCGTCCCCAATAACGATCCCCGAAACAAAAGCAGGACACCTTTCGGCTCCAGTATCCTTCTATTTACTTTTAGGGAGCGAATGTATTGATTTGTATTTTGCGTGACACAAAAGGAACCTCTGTGGAGCTGAGAATTTTTTCACGCATAAAGAGGTAAGGAAGCAAACGATAAATGCCAGCAAAAGTTACATTCTGTGTCATTCCACCAGCATTCTAAAGGAGTCACGCCAGTGTCTTTTTAAGTATCAGAAATATCACTTGGAGAAACCACACAATGCAATACGCAATTTTCATTAATTTTGATAAATTAAAATTCATACATGGTTATGAAGCTTGGGAAAACTGAGAAAAAAAATCATCTTGAGGTTCAGAGATCAATAACATGAACTATTATTCGGTAATGAATAATACTCACAAAGAAATGTGTAATATCTGAGAGTCCCAAGCACCTCTGCATCTTTACATTACCTAGATGTCATGAAAGACAAAAAAACCCTGTTGCTAAAAATAAAAATAGAGAAGTAACCCGTACAAAATCAAGTATTATATACAAAAGCATGCGTGACAGACGCCAGTTATTTTGGTAAGTTTTTATAGAGCGCGCGAGGGGAACTGGCGAAGGGGAGAGGAGGCCTCCTTTCCTTTTCTCCCCTCAACTCGTGCGCGCGCGTTATCGAAATTTCTCCATTCACCCTACAAGAACCGGCGCCTTCTACAGGGGCTTGTATTTGACAATAACAAATAACAATTACATAAATTACCATATGCTCTCCTCTCTGGGTATAGAAGACTCTTATCAACTAGGAGGCAAATAATACATCAATCGTTAAGGGTAACTTGTAAGACACATCGCAGTCGTATGAGACAGTCAGAGCTAGTCACAGTTGTTTTACGACTCTCTTTAGAAATCGTTATGAAATTACGAAAGATGTATGAAGATTTAGTTAACCCTGCTACACGCAACCAATAAAAATAAAATTCTGGCTGAGATAGTTTCAAACTAGTTTCACTTTCAATTGCTTTGTTTCTGATTTTGCAAAAAAGCTGGGTAAGACAAAAAAAAAAACTGGTAATCAAACTAGGCGGACCCTGAATTTTATTTCAACGCCACCAAATAAGGAACCGGTCATTATTTATCGCCGGGGGGGGGGGATTTGGGGCTAAAAAAGGTGAAATTTAGCCGATCCCGCCTTTGAATGTTACTTCACTGAAGTGATTCCCCCTAATAACATTTTATGACTTTCGCGATCCCCTGTCTTCATTTTCCAAGCAAACTTGAGTGGCCCTCCCTCTGAATCCTTCCAAAGTTTTCAGTGATTCCCCCCTTTAGGTTCTCAGTTTACAACTGATCCCCCCCTTTTGTTTCCCTAAAAATCAAGTAATCCCCCCAAAATCCTCCTCCCACCCCACAGGTGATAAATAATGATCGGTCCCTAATGTGTGTTAGTACTAAAAAAGGCCAACCTTTATGATTGGAGCTTGGGTTATACTTTTTAAAAATTTTAGATAAAGCCCAGAACTTCTTTGTCACATCACCAGCTTCTGACAATGGAGCATCATAATCTACAAGGAACAGGTTATAGTCAAAAAAATCCCACACTAGTCAAAAACTGTTATCGTTCAAGAGAGCTCAAGAGAGCTTGCTGAGATCCCTGGCCAGTGTAATTAATTTTAGATGTATAGCATGTATACTATAATAGTGTTATGGTAAATCAAAATTGATACAATAAAGTTGCCTCTATTCAAAACAAAGAGAAAAAACCCGCATCGCCAGATGTGCCTTTTCGTTTTAGTTTAGTGTAGGCGGTAGAGTACGAACAGCAACTGCCAAGAGGCGACACGTCCATCACCTTGCGGAACGGTTGGCTGAGAGGATTTGGTTAACTAAATTCCATCACTCCTGAATATTTACTTCCGTCTCAGTGGGTTCCAGTCCTCGCTCCTACTTATTTACTTCCACGACCGGCCGAATAGGTGTTTACAAGCTGTCACCAAAGTATGGCACAAAACCTATCGGAAATGTCACGCTCCACTTTCAAAAAACGGCGCTGCGCAGCTTCGCTTCATNATAAGTCAGATGAGAAGAGAGAAGATTGGATGATAATCGAAGCGCGCGGGGACTTATGGGAACACAACAGTGTGCCTCCAAACCTCAATCTTCTCCCAGCCCATAAACACATAAATAGCGACTAGGTAAGAGTCTACGTTAGTGTGGAGTGAGCCAGGTTGGAGTAAATTGGCTATTCTTTGTCTACGCTTAAGCGTCAGATTTGAATCAAATTGTACTTTGTTTCTAAGGCACTGTTTTAGGACACTATTAAAGACACTGGGTCAAAATTTGTCCCCCAAAACAGTTCCCGGTCTCAAGGACAACGTCAAAATGGCCGACACAGTATTAAAACTGAAGAATCCCAAAGAACATGTTACCGTATGACGTAACAACAGCTTGATAAGAGAATTTTCGTATCCAGGGAATGACAAGAGCGCCATTCATAAATCCAAAGTTAGTGCCTCCTGAAAGAAAAAAAGGGAAAGCATCGCTAGTTGAGTCTATTTCTATATGCTGCGTTGTAGAGTTTTAGTCATTTAAAGAGTTCTATCGAAAGCAAGTGTACTGAACAGAAGATATGACCGAAGTTTTCTTAAGTAGAATCGCGGCTCCCAGTTTGGCCTCATGTACGTCTGCGAGCTTACACATGACAACACCCGCGGTGGAGCTGACTTTGCTGTGAAAGACTGTATAAGATACCATCAAAAGCTACCTTGCTTAAATGTTAGACACTGAGATAAGGATTATTTTATCAGTACTTTTTCGACTTATGTTTACCGTAGATGAATTTGGCCCTTTTTAACAGCCATTGCTTGTGTGGAATAGGTAAAAAAAAAAAGACTAACGAATCAATTCAGTCCGAAAAATACTTTTCTGTTTGTTTCGGAAAATATGCCACAAATATTCCGCCATACCGTGAAACATGTAGAGGTTAATGGAGGCTCCAGCCCTAAGAATGTTCAATACCCTTGTGGTAGTCTTTTCAACATCCATTTTGTAGTGACCATCGCCCCAATTATCAAACCATCCTGGCCAAAACTCTGCCACCATTAAAGGTCTATTAGGCTGGAAGACAAACAGCCACATTACTACCATTGATAATTCAATCGTAGATGGGTAGGAATAATCACGATAAGACTGGAAAAACATAAATTCACTTTTTAAGCGATGTTTTCGCTGCCATCGCGTTGTAAGATTGAGGCTGGTTCACGCACGTGCACTGCACTAAGTATTAAGAAAGTATCACTCTTGTAGTCGTCCTTGTCTTTTTTAATAGAATCTAAAGTTCTCTATTATACCTGAAAAGAGGCTCCGATATCAAAAGGAAGGGGTAGCTGGCCGACTTACTTAGCGTGTTGCGAAAAACACAAAAAGAAACACTGTCATTATGAGTAGGTTTATGCTCTCATATAAAGATCCAATAAAGCCTGAGTCAAGACCAGATTAGTCTTCGTTGAGGTTTTAAATTTGATGTTCTAACGAATATCTGAGTCCCTTTCACTCGGGAGTCTCCCCATCCGGGGTCGACTTCCAAACCATCTAGTGTAAACACAAGAAAAAAGGCAGACGCAGTAAGCGTCTGAGCTTACACATGTATAATCGATGCACTTAACAGACGTCATAGCCATATATGACCCTGTCCACTTTAATAGCCTCCTAAACAAACGTTCTTAGGCCTTTCCCACGAACAGGATGGAGGCTTTAATGGCTTCTACAGTGGAGATGGGACGCACTCAACCTCGCGCTTAATTAACATTCAAACGTTGATCCGTCTAAACGTCCTCTAATTATAAAAACGGCCATTATTGCAATGATCTGCTAACTTCATGGCTCATCTGGTTTTACATGTACAACGTTTCGATCAGAAATCGCATATTCGGGAGAACAAACCCCTGTTTAAGCAGCCACTTTTGAGAAAGGGACAAGTCAACGGTAAAGATAAGTTGGGCACTGAATAGTGAGCCATCTGAAAACAACCTTAGGCGTTCCTGATAATTTTTAAGACCTACAACTGAGCTTGTGCATTGAGGAAGGTGATACAGAAATGAAGCCACAATAATAATATGGTAAAAAGAGGAAATTGAGCTGAAACGTAGACCATTTGAAATTTTCGTTAGGCAACTTCGATATTGTGAGAAGGCACGCGCAAGCGGGACAGAGTTCATACGCGGCTAGACAGCTTTCTTGCGGGCTATGCATTCTTAGACTAGGGAGTAAAAACAATGTGCCATAGAACCAAATTTTACCGATTTAAGGGTGGAATTTCTTGAACTGAGGCTAAGTTAATAAAAAAAATCTTTACCTGCAACTTTTTGAGCCTCTTGATAGAATCAACCTCATCTTTTTGCAAATTCATTGTTAAAAATGCTGCAAGGGGACAAGAATACAAAGACGAAATAAGAAGTTAAATTTGACTAAACAAGCAAGTAAGGACCATTAATATTTCATATCCAAAAAAATATCGCCCATGAAATTAAAAGATATTTGTTCCAGGTAAAAGAAATTACCCTGTAAAATAAAACATTCCCAATATTCTAGGAGTACAACCTAAAATATCATCACCGTGCCCACCTCAATTAGCTTTCACTATTTGTGAGCAACGACAATCAAGTGAAGTGAAGTGAAATGAACTTGAGTGTATAGCACATGTAGTACCTCCTGGCAGACGATATTTTTCTTGCTCCATTATCCCCAGATTATCAGATGTAAACATCAATTCTGTAAGACCTTCATCAACCATCACCTGAAAAAAAGCAAATACATGATAAGACATTCACTTTCAGAGACCCTTAACTATCCTTACCGGCTTGTTGGTTTATTTTGTTACAAACTGAACAATACAAACGAAAGTAATCATACGGAGGTGCTCTAAGAAAAATTGAGGGGATCTGCCAAGTACTATGAAATTGTGAAACCCACTGTGTCCAGCAGGCTTTTAATAATAAAAAGGGGCAGTGTAAAATGCAGACTGTGGACTGATGGCAGACTATTGTTTTTAGGGTTAGAAAACAATGGAACTATTGTTGTCACATACTCATTTGCATGGTGAAATCAATAGTCTGCAGTCTGCATCTTACACTGACCGACAATAAAAACGAAAATTTTCCTAGTCACTTAAGAGGAAAAGTAAGGCACAAGGGGCCACTGGGTGCTGCTGCCCTTTCCCTTGATAAGGTGTTGTGCCAGCATCAATATAGCAAAAAGCTCCATACAAAAACACCCCCTCCACAAAGGAAATGAGGAGTGTCTAGGAGATGTTTTTACACAGAGCCCTACCATACCATTAATCCTCTATTATTTGGCCCAAAACCCCCCATCCCACCCCCCCCCCCCCCC